CTCCTACTGAAGTATTTGTTACTTCAGTAGAAAATACATCACAGAAGTTAATGCTCACAACTTGAGGAATCTTAATCTCTAAATACGTTTCTATAAGGTGATTTAATGGTTGGTGTATTCACCCCTGTATTTTTCCTTGGGAAACAGCAACAAAGTAAATTTCTTAGTATTCAAATTAGATGTCTTTATTTTTTATTAAAATAATTAGTATTATTTCTGATAGAACAATCAGGTTTAGGCAACAGTTTCGGTAGATTGGTTAGGATTTTTAAGACATATTATAGCCCCCTCACGCCCAAAAAAACACAAACAACAAAACAACAACAAAGAAACGAACAGGCGAAGTTTTGAAATCCATTAGGCGTAATGTTTGTGATATAAACGTTACACAAGAGACATCTACAGTTTAACTCATTTTTATCACAAGTATACTTATTGGATTCAAACACTTAGCCAGGTTTTCTTGTTTAAACCCTAACCATAAAATTCTTATTCTCTTCGTCTGGTCTAGTTGACACGTTATTAACGCTGAATGAAAAGCATTCTGAGCAATGCCTTATTAGAGTTAAAAGACAAATCTAAAATGTAATTTCTACAGAACTCTGGTTTGAAATCCTTAATAGAAAGTTAAGTGGAAAGTAAATACAAAATCTACAGTCTAAGTTATTTGTATCATAAGTATTACGCCCAACCAGTCTAACGATTTTTAAGGTACTAAAAGAAAATAAAAAATCCAACGTAACATCACATTAGAGAAGTGTTGTGGTAAACATTGTAACTTCATATACATAACTAGCTGGAATACTCGTCCGCAGGACGGAAGGTATCTAAATTCATGATTAATGAAAGGTTATCTTAGGACATGAAAAGTTGCTTCCCTTATATGGAATTGTAAAAAACGCCCATAAAAATTGCAAATTTGCATGGACCCAACAAACCTTCATGCCAAATTTAGTGAAGACCTATCAACAGAGGGCGAAGTAGTGGTAAAAAAAGCCCATAAAATCCGCAAAATGCAAAACTGAAAATTTGTATGTATCTCCCCATGGAGTCATTGAACCTCCAAACTTCGCCCTCTATTGATAGATCCTCACCAAATTTGGTAAAGATCCATTCACAGTAAGCAAAAAAAGCAAAAATAAAAATTTATATGTACACCCACATGGACCTAATGAACATACATACCAATTTTGGTAAAGGTCCATCCGCACCCTGCGAAGTATTTACACGGACATTCAACAGACAGTAATATTATATTTATATAGATACGTATTATTAGTTACTCATAGTCATTATTTATTCACACTAGTGTAGTGATGTAATGTTATTACATTGTTTATACCATATCACACTTAGTTAAACTGTTTATAACTTTCATTGATAACGCACTTTATTTTATTTGTTATAGCAAACCGATGGGAGAAATAACCTACTGGATACAGAATACAACGTATAGTTATAGTTTGTTTAGATTATCATTGATAGAACGGTTGTGATGTTTAACTACTGTATCTAGTGATATGTTTGATTTCAAATTATTATTACTAAAATTATGATTCAACATATAGATGTGGCTAATTAACCATTCTTGTTAAAGACTGTACCTTTTTCGAACCCATGATATTATCATCAACTACTAAGGCTAGTATATTGTATACATATACAACTAATTAACTGTTCTTCTTAAAGACTCTTTCCTTTACGAACCCGTGTTATTATCACTTGCTAAGGTTGAAATTTTATACACAAGTGTGATTATAAGTTATTTGTTTAGGGTTTTGATTCGGCATGCATGTGATTAATAACGCATGATATTTCTATAATTTGACGCACGTGTGATTATTAAATCCTGTTAAGATAGAAATTTTACACTTTCTGAGATTGTGATTTGACTTTCACGTTTGATGAGTGTAATTTACTGAGTTATAATAAGATGAGACGTTGAAATGTTGTGTGGAACATGAAATCAGCATTACACAGCTCATAGCGACTTGAAAAGTTTTTAGTACATTTTCTGTTCATTTTCCTTTCACTAAATGGACTTTTTAGACTATTTAAAACAAATTTGACTTTTATTTGTTTTAAATAGTCTATTGACTTTTATTTGTTTTAAATAGTCTATTGACTTTTATTTGTTGTTTTCGTTATTCATTTCTGTTTCTTTGGTGTTTAAATTGTCTTTTGTAATTACCAGACAATTTGTATTGTATGTTAAACAGATTGTTTATCTAATGATTTTACTAAGTGCTTTTGTTTCCCATCACGATATATATATTCTGAAATATATAAATAATCCGTTTTCTTGTTATTGAAATGTCTGAATAGCCTTTGAATTATATTTTGCTTATTCAGTTATTATTTATTTATTTAACTAGATGATTTAAATAATTTATTGTGACCAGTTTTGACCTTAAAAATGTTAACAATGGACTAAATAATTCATATATATACTATAATAAAAGTCATGATATGACAGTTATTTATATTAATTGTTTCTTGTGGAAAACATCACTGCTTTCAAAGAGTGTATTTCAGTGCGTGAAATTAATTGTATTACAGTTTTCATTTCAAATAAAATATAATTCTTACTTCGCAACATCTAACTTGATGTTCTTATTTGTATTACATAAATTCACATGACCTCAAGCACAATAACGATAGACGGACAACACTGACGATACGAGTACACTATGTAAACATTTCGTGACACAAAATTTCAATATCATGATTATCTGCATTCAGTGATATAGTGGTAAGTCTGCGGATTTTCAACACTAAAATCAGGGGTCCGATTCCCCTCAGTGGACACAGCAGGTAGCCCGATGTGGCCTTGCTATACGAAAACACACACTCCTTTCTAACATCTAATATCCTCAAGAACAGAACCTTAATACTAGATTGGTCATATTTGTTGCACTGCTTAAATGAAAGCTGTCAAACTGTCATTACCAACTGTCTTAGGACCAGTTCGATGTATGTTTTATTCATATAGGTACTGCAATAAGCTTAATGTTTCGAATTACCAATCTTTGCGTTTTTAATCTGTGTTCAGGAGTAAAGTTTTTGGGGATACAATGATAAAGATGCAGCTTTTGTGAAACCTCTTATCCAAGATCAGAATTATCGAATAGACAAAGTAGGCAACCATCCTAGGCAGCAATATAGAGGATCTTGCCAAATAAAATTAATTTTACCTATGAATTCATATTGTAAGATCACTGCGCATTTATAATACCAACTTTCTTGTTGTGGGTCTCCTTCGAGGGTGTCTGCTGAGAATAACCAATAGGAGAGTAATAAGTATATTCCAAAAATACATAGCTACAAGCTTCTAATATGAAATCAAGAGAAAGGAGCGAACTTGACAGGCTACAATTTGTTGTTGTTTCTCTGGAATCGCGAAAAGTAAAAATGTAATTATTAAATTATCATAAGTTTGTATTGACTGCCAGATAGCTAAAAAGTGCCAGTGAAACCAGTGGAAACTTAAAAGTGAATAATCAGTGAATATAAAGTGCATATTTCTAAGGGAAAAGGGAAGCAGAAAAATATTCTAGTTGGAACACTAAGAGGACACTATTCTTAGTATTCTGATACTTTGCGACATATTTAAATAAAATGGTGAAATAACCTCTAGAAAAAGTTAAGAAATCAGTGCTGCTGACAAAAACGAATTAAACAACTCAAAATGAGAAATCTTTCTTTCCGTTTATCGTATAATACCACACATAATGAGACAACATTTCAAACTCATCTACAAAAGGTATTCACCGCCCTCTGGTGGCTCAGCAGTAAGCCTGTGGGATTTTACTCCAAAAGTCGGGTTTCTATACCCGTGGATAACCTGTTGTGTAGCTTTGTGCTTAACAAAAAAAAACCTTACCCAGAAAAAGAATACAGTCGCTGTTTATGCATACGAGAAACAACCACATTGATTAGTTTCAATAAAAAAGTATCACATAAATTACAAAAATATCTAAAGGAGATCATAATTTAGTCCAAAAAACAGCTCATGTAACACACATTGAATGAAATTAAGTTAAGTATTCAAAGGCTTTATGAAAACAACTACCGAATCATAAAGAGGTTTTCTGTATTTTTGATAAAGATATCAGATAATTTATGAAATCAATATTTAAATTGCACTCAGACATAACGCAGTATCAAAATTACGGCATTTATAAAAGTTTTTGAATTCTGCGAATACGTCATATTTCGATTGGGTTAGACAAACATTGTTATAAGGTGTACATTGTACAAGGGTGATTTTCTGGGTGCAGCATTTGTTTGTAAAATTATTGAACCTCATTTCCTTTCGTAGTTAAGAAAATGACTTGACTATTGTAGCTTACAAGTAATGGAAATAAATCAAAGTACGTTTTCTCCTAGAAAATCTGACTTCTAACCGAAAACAAAAACTACTGATGAAACTTTTAACTTATTAAAATATCCAAACATTTTAACTTTTCAATTCTCTAGAGTATAAATTAATGTGTAGGGGTATTAATCAGTCTGACTAGTTGAAAAATCAACAACTATAACGGTCTGAAGAGAATTTATCTGACTATCTGCTTCCTCTGATAAGGGTTTTGTGTTGTTATTTGTGTTACTGAAGTACACATAAGCATCTAGGGACCAGGAACCGTTTAAAACAGTTTTATAAATATACAACTGTATCAAAACAAATTTATATATGAACGTTTTATATGAATAGTCCTACCACAGTAGAACTGTTCATTATGCCTGTAACCTCCTTGCTTAACTGTTTCAGCTAGAAAAATATCCCATCACCATACTATTTCCGGTCTCACAAATAAAATAATTAAAATAAAAAATATATCTGCAATTATATATTATTGAATCAATATTGTTTTTTTTTATTATTATTATCGAAACATCAACAAAGATCGGTTTATAACTTGTTTCTACGTAGTCGAATGACAACAATGAACGACTGTGCTCCAAGACAAGCAGGAAAACTCAGTTACTAAGTTACTACTAACTTTACTTTTTTGTAGCTGAACTTCTCTGAATTTGACTTGACGGTAAACACATAACATAACTAGACCCTAAACCAACTGTTTAATTAATTAGATACGGATTACAAGGTCTCTTGTATTTTTTTCAGTGTTTTAGTCATTCAGAAATGGTATGAAAGATTTGTTTTCCAATATTTATGAAAATAATTTGTTTGTTTGTACTTAAACATAAAGCTACACAATGGGCTATCTGTGCTCTGCCAATCACGAGTATCAAAACCTGGTTTCTAGCATTGTAAGTCCGCAGACATGCCACTGGGCCCCCGGGGGGCATGGAAATAATACAAATCGCTATTGCATCTCCCATAACTTGATTCCCCACGGTGAACAGAACGCCTATAATAAATAAAGTCAGTATTCCAAAAAATTGCTTAATCTCGAAGTCTAAGTTTAAGAGAGGTCCAGTTCAATCCACACTCTGATCAACGTGTGTTATTGAGTTATACTTGTTTCAGTTATGCTAGGTTTTTCTCATAGTGACTACAAAGCACGTTCACACCAACAGTATGTTTGATACTTTTCACTATGATATTGGTCCACTATGATATTATCTCTCTTTGGTTAACTTGTATTCAGGGTTACTGATAAAGAGTGGAATTCTCCGAAACTAGTATAACCCAAGAACACACGTTGGCCAAAGTGTAGATTGAACTGGACCTCCCTTAAACTTAGACAATTAAACAATTTTCGGAATACTAAGTTTATTTATTATATCTGCTATTGTACGACTATATAATGTAAATAACTGAATAGTGGTCAATGACATTTTACTACACTTCATTTATCCAGTGTACAGGTTTTTCTCATTGTGGCTACAAAGCACGTTCACACCAAAAGTATGTTGGAGAACGCATATAGCTCATTGTGTAACCTTGTGTTAAAACAACAAACAAATAATGTCTGTTGCGCATTCAATCATGTGAAAAGCTCTTACCAGAATAAATCCTATTTTCAAACTGTTGCAGCTCTTTATCAGCCCAACTACGTCAGTGATAATCACCTATTGAACATTCATATAATTATATACATACATATATATATAGTGAGAGAATAAATGATCAAGTTATTCTAAGTACAACATTGAAGACTGAGAAACTAAGTAGTTTTTATATTGTAATTAATTTATTAATTATTTAATTCTCATAAGATATAATACAAACATTATAATAAAAGTGAAGAGTGGTAGCTACTTTACAGAGAGTTAGGAAACACAACTCACAAACCACAAAGTGAGTGAGGTGATGTGTTGATCCAGTTTGGAGAACTATGTGTTTAATGAGAACACAATATTAACACAACTGTAAAAACATTTTCACTAAAAAATTAGGAAGTAGGGATGGGAGCACCAAAAATTAAGGAAACAAGGTAGGAATGGGCGGGATAACATTACAACACTTGGTGGTTTTTGACAGGTGCAACCTCAAAGTGGGTGTGGCTATCATTCCGCTGATTCCTACTTCGTGTTTGACTTTGTACTTTGATGCAATTATAGACTTGAATTGAGTTTTATTAGAAGCTACTCCTTTCTAAATACTCAATACATTTAAAAAGTTCAAAAATTATCGATTTTGATATTATTATTTTGGCTTACCCCTTACCAGTCAGATGGCTATAATGTCTTCCATAAACAAGGTATGACTATTAGAGCTTCCTGTCTCACTTCCGACATCATACACCTCCCACCCCTTATGATGTCATGAATTTTGTTAGGGTCACGTAATTTGATTACATACCTGTATCTGTACTCGGTTGCTGAAGCGAAGTTTACAACACCTTTCATTTAGTTTAAACAATTACCAAGTTACAACAAGCACATAAATTAGGTATGGGTGGAACGATAATCACACCCACTTTGAGGTTTCACCCTGTCAAAAAACACCAAGTGTTATAATGCTATCCTGGCCATTTCCTTCCTGTTTCCTCACTTTTTGTTTA